CAGGCTCCAATGTCAGAATGGAGCCTGACGCAGGGCTCAATCCCATGACCTGGGGATCACAACCTGAGCTGAAATCAAGAGTCAGGTGCTCAACCAACTGAGCCACCCAGGTGCCCCCCCCCCCATTTTAACCACTTTTAAATGTACAGCTCAAAGGCATTAAGTACATTCATACGGTTGGGCAACCATCACTAGCATTAATTTCCAGAACTTGTTTCATCTTGCAAAATTGAAACTCTATACTCATTAAAGAAGTCCCCATTCCTCCCACCCCTGGCAACCAGCATTCTACTTTGTCTCTATGATTAGGGATAATCTAAATACCTCATATGAGTGGAACCATACAGTATTTGTCCTTTTGTGAAAGGCTTACTTCATTCAGCATAATGTCTTCAAGCCTCATCCATCTTGTGGTGTGTATCCTAACTCCTTAAGGAGTTGTACGTATGTATATACCACATTCTGTTTACCTATTTATCCACCAATTGATATTGGATTGCTTCCATTTTTTGGTTGCTATAGATAAAGTTGCTATGAATATAAAAATGCGTATACAAATACCTCTTCAAGTCTCTGCTGTAAATTCTTTTAAATATATATCCAGAAGTGGAATAGCTAGATCTTATAGTAAATCTATTTTTAATTTTTAAGGAAGCACCAAACTTGTTCCATATCAACTGTACCATTTTACATTCCCATCCACAGTGTACAATAGTCCTAAGTTCTCCACATCTTCACCAACACTTGTTATGTTATGCTTATATTTTTTTACAATACCAAGTCTAATGGGTGCGAAGCGGTATATCATTTGTGGCTCTGATTTACAATTCCATAACTATCAGTAATGTTCGGCACCTTTTCATGTACTCATTGGCCATTTGTAAATCTTCTTTAGAGAAATGTCTATTCGAGTCCTTCACCCAGTTTTGAATCAGGTTGTTTGGTTTTTTGTTGAGTTTCAAGAGTTCTCTACATATTCTGGATATTAATCCCTTATCAGATATGATCTGTAAAAAAAAGACTTTCTCTTGAAAATTAAAACTCTTTTAAAGTGAAAAAATATATATACAAACTGCTATAATTTTTTAGTTCTAAGAATGATACCAGACAACAGAGATAAAAAAAAATTAATGGAATCTTTCTATTTAATAATTTCCCTTAAGAGGGAACAGAGAGAAAAAAAATGTCAAAATTATAATAGATTATGTAATGTGTTATAATAGACATGTACAGACAGTACCATGGAAGTACAAATTTCTAGATGATGGGAAAAGCAACATCAAAGGGATAAAGGTGAAAGAGAACATGAGGCATTACAGGATCAGATGGCGATCTCAAAGATGGGGGATAGAGACAGAAGGTATGATAATCAAAGAGAAAGTGGCCAGTAACTGAATACCGCTATTTGTCATAACGAAAATGTTAACCTTTGTGTTGACATCACTGATGAGTACCGTGATTATCTGGACTGTGTGAAAAAACATTATATCCTATGGATCCAGAGTAGAGGTTACTCCCAAACATTCCTAATAATAATCATGCTAGGGCATAAAAGGGTATATCCTGAGGTGGGTAAAGAAGGGAATACTCTCCCTCTGATACCGGAAAAGCGGAAGCTCCTGGATTCTATGTGAAAGAAACTGAATATGGCAGTGAACTGGTACCTACATAAGGGGATCTGCAGAAACAAGGAAGTGATCCTCAGATTGAGATGGTAATCACTGACAGCCTTGCACTTCTGCTATGACTGGGTAATCAGTAGAAGTTTATTTAAATACTTCACCATCAAGGAAGAACTAGGCATATTCTTGGAATAAGTCAGCACTAAAAGCAAGAAGTCTGGCATCCTGAGAACTTCAGAATGACTGGTTCAAGAGACAGGCAGGGGAGAAGCAACAAAGAACCTCTAGGTTAGATAAATATATAAAAATTCTTTAGGTTTTGCTAGAAATTACGAATGAAAGTACTTAGGAGAAAGACTGGATTTCCTGCCCATCTGAAAAATGGGTGCAGGGTCTCGGACTCCTGATACATTAAAGGACATAAGATCCTAAATTTAAATTAGAGAAATCAATTTCAATTTATGATGTATTTCATCTTAAATTTCTTCTCAAGTCATTCTAAAAGGGCCGAGAAATAATGACAAATCCAGCAGTAACAATCACAATAGGCCAAACTAGTCTTCAGATATTATCTCCCTTTAAAAGGGCTCCCAATAACTCCTTAAAGAAATACATGATTCTAGAACTGCCAGAAAATATAAGAGTTAAGACTGGAGCACTTTGTCACACAAGACAGCATGAAGTTATCAAAGACTACTAAGATTATACTAAAATGACTCAGGAGCAATTTAAAGAAGGTCCTCGTGGTCAGAAACAGAAACAACTGAATGGACACCAGAGGAAATAATAACTGCAATGGATGGAAACATCAAATACATTTAGGTCTATGAGTTCATAAAGATGTTTTTTTATTTTTATTTTTTTAATATTTTATTTATTTTTGAGAGTGCAAGCGGGGCATGGGCAGAGAGGTAGGGGGACAAAAGATCCAAAGCCGGCTCTGTGCTGATAGCAACAAGCCCTATGTGGGGCTTAAACTCACGAACCGTGAGATCATGACCTGAGCTGAAGCCAGGCGCTCAACCAAATGAGCCACTCAGGCACCCCATGAAGATGTTTTTTAAAAACTAAGTGCCACTGGAGGATGTTAGGAACCAGTTCACTGTTTTAAAAGCTGGCATAAGAGGAGAAAAATTTAAAGGTTTATCCTGCTTTTCCAATGCAATGTACCACTGAATAACCTAACAGTAGATGAAGGGAATGGGTCCCCAATAACAAATGAAATTCGAGTGAGAGAATGTAAATATCATGATTTTTCAGTCATTACAGAACCAATGAATCCAGGCATTACATATCAATGGCTACTAACATCACAAAAGAGAAATAAAGAAGATACTACATGCCCTCTGACAGAAGAAGGCAAAAACTTCCTATGAAGTAGTATCCAATCTGAATTCTATCAACCTCTGGACCCAACTACCAATTTATGCAAAATATAGAAGATGGAGGAACCTGTTAAGACTATAACACAGGGATGCAATAAGCAAACTCCATACTATGAGGAAATATATACAACAAACAATATGTTTCTTCAACTAATGAACTAGATAGAAAGAAAAGATGAAAGAGAAACCTACAGAATTAAGAGAGACTTGAGACTTAATCAGTATCAACTGACTACACTATGTGGTCCTTATTTGGATCTGATCTGAATAAACACACTAAAAAGAATTATGAAAGTTGTAATTTAATTGGAAATGTGATACTTAGTAGGTTTTTGATGATATTAAGAAATTATTGATACTATTTTAGGTTTGCTAATGGTATAATGGTTATTCTTTAAAAAGGGACCTTCATTTTTAGAAGTACATATTGAGATATTTATGAATAAAATTATGTCTAGGATTTGCTTCAAAGTACTATGAGAAGGCAGAAAGAAAATGAATATAAAAATAAAGTAAGAGTATCCACGAGTTGACAACTGTTGAAGCAGGGTAATTTGGTAGATGTAAATTTATTATGCTAATTTGTCTACTTTTATATATGCTTGAAATTCTCTATGAAAAAAGGTTAAAAGAAAAAAAGGACATATAACCTTATTTTATATCACAAAATGATGGTACAGAATACTCTATTTACTGATAGTCTAGGACAGAAAAGGAAAGTTCTTAAAGAACCTAAGACATGGGAAAACAGTTAAAAAACGGTGGATGTGTCAATGTGTATATACATGAGTGTATACATATAAAATGTAATTATTCCTTACTGATATGTGGTCCATTAGGAGTAATTTTGCTTTATTATTTACATGTTTTACATTTAAAGAATCAAATACAGTTAATATATTTTATAACTTGGGGAAAATGTCACATATATTTTATTATTTAATACATTTAGTGAATGGCAGGCTCTGTGCAAGGCATCAGAAAAATAATGGTGAACAAGAACTCTATCATATGGAGCTTAGTGAGGGAGACAAGAAGAACCAAAACAAAGAGTTAGAAGGACATGTAAAATGCAGGATATTTAGGTGTTATGAAAGAAGCAGATAGTGGTATATCAGGGAAGGAAAACAGTAACGGTCCTATGTGGGGGTGACCTAAAGGACTAGAGTCATTCACTCACAAAGTAGGGAAAACAACATAAAAAGCAGAGAAAGCAAGACACTGAATTGGGAAAGAATTATTCTGCAGTCAAAATAACTGTAAGTCAAGGGGCCCTTGGGTGGCTCAGTCAGTTAAGCGTCTGACTTCGGCTCAGGTCTTGAACAGTTAGTGAGTTCGAACCCCGTGTCAGGGTCTGTGCTGACAGCTCAGAGCCTGGAGCTGCTTCAGATTCTGTCTCCCTCTCTCTCTGCCCTACTCTGCTCACACTCTCTCTCTCTCTCTCTCAAAAATAAACAAACATTAAAAAAATTTTTTTAATAAAGTAAAAAAAAATTACTGTAAGTCAAGAAAGGTTCAAGCACTGGATTTATATAATTCAAAATTAGATTTAAAGAGGATTGATTTTGAGGTAGCAAAGAAGTCAGGTGTGCCACCTGGAGAAGTGTAGAAGAGTTACTTGTCTTTTTATAAAAGTGCCAGTGAGAGGTGGCCATTATTTACTCACATCTGTTAACAATTACTAACACCCATAAAAGAAGTTAATATTTTAGAATAAGGTCTTCCTAAATGTACATGGAAAAAGGAATACAAGTGTTAATACTTTTAACTTATCAACTTCTATCATCCATTTTTCCAAATTTTTCAGTTTTAAATTTAAATTTTAAATTCAATTTTAAATTTCACTTTCAGAAAGTGAAAATACATTTAAAAGATAAATATATTAAAGCTATAGTTATATAAAAAGATTTTTACAAGGTAATGTGAAAATTAAAGATAATCAAATTTATTGTTATATACAAGACAATTCTGTTTAAGATTACTGAAAAATTACCTTGGACAAATCTCTGAAGTTACTTGGCAAAGTAAGATCCAGTTCTTCTGATTCATAATTAGTGATGACCCAGGGAAACACTGGATACTGATTTAAGTCATTGTAACTCCGTCCTGACAGAGAGAGAGAAGTCATTCCATTTAGAATAAGAAAATAAAACTGACTCAGGGATATCATTTACTAAAAATAAGAACAACTTAACTTTCTGAGTGCCAGGCATTGTCCTCAGTGTTACACATGTATTATTTCATTCAATCCTATAATAAACCTACAGAATTATCATCCCCCATTTTACAGATAAAAAAATGAGACACAAAAGGTTGAAAACTTGCCTAAAACCGTGTAACTAGTAATGATCAAATAATATTCAAACCCAGATACTCTGGCCCCAAGTTTCTGTTCTTATAAAATACACTTGACTATTTTTTTCTTACTTGAAGGCCTGCATCAAACAAAATATTCTTTATCAATCCTTAAAAAAAATTTCAATTCTCATAGAGCTTTTCAAAACAAGAATCCTTTCTCTGCCATTAATTAACCAACCAATCAAGCAGCTAATCAAACAAATTTAAGTGACTTATTCTCTGCGGACATTCATTAGTCATCTGTAAAATAAGAGAGTTGTACTAAATAACTCTAAAATTTCTGCAACAGCTTTCAAATTCTATGATCCTCTGAACATAACATGCAGCATCATCAGTGTTGGCTTTCCCCCACTCATAAATGCTGCCACATACTCTTCTACAATTCTTCTAAACTAATGACATTCAATGACACATTTAGGTCTATTAAAATTATGAATAAAACAAAGGATGAGATAGCCCTGCTACCTATACACAGCGGTTTTCTGGATATCACTATTTTAGGGAGCAGCATAGTGGATCATATCATTGTTTCTAACATCAAAACACTAGCATTTGAATCCCAGCTCCACTATTTATTTACTAGTCTAAAACCTATTTTTCGTTAGATCTAATGTGAACAGACTTTCACCACTAAAATATAAGGGAGACAAGTATATTAATATTGTTTGAATTCCTTTCTTATTGTGTATTCTATCATCTTTTCTCTTTCTCAAATATATGCTGATGTCATATCAATATAGAGCTGAATATTAAAGTAGTTCTTCACACAGATGCTTGGTATCTGAGCCTTCCTTATGATGTCTTTAACTTCATTTCACTCTATTCATCTTGAGGACTATTAGAGTAACACAGTTCTTCCTTGAATGACCTGCAAACAGTCTTAACAAAACATGAATAACTGGGACAATTTTAATTCAGAGGTCATTATGTCACTACCTATTTTGGTCAATTTTAATTTCTCCCAGAAAAAAGTAACCAAACTAAGTGGCAAAAAGCAGTATATTTTTATTCTCTCCATCCATTTCCCTCTTCTTCTGATTGAGACGTTAGTAAACATGTTAGTAAAATCATCATCTTGTCTGTTCTTAAGTAATCAAATTTATTATATCTTCAAAAAAGAGTATGCACCAGCTCACTGTAAATAGACTTTTACTAAGTAAGGTTAATTCTTTATATAGTTACTAAATGCCTACTGGACTGCCTTTTGGGAAATTTATCATGCATAGTGTCATGAGAACCTATATGTATCAGATAATAGCAGATAACAGCATATCAGATATTCCTAATTATTGCTGCGCATTCAATCTATGCGTTCATTGACTTACCATATGCTTAATTAAAAAGGTCCGTTTAACTTTTTCTCTCACTACTACTTAAAAAGCTTGTCAGTTATTAGTTACATAATATCTAAGTCCAACACAATTGTTCAATCTTTCTTCATTCCTTTTCCTCAACTGCCTGTGAGATGAACACCTCCTTAAACCGGTAAAATTTAGACTTTTCAATGCGAGCCCTTAAATTCCCATTTCCATAATACTCCCTCTCTTCCAACCTTCTCTAACAGTGCTTTTATACTTTGTGAGCTGTAATTCCTTCACCTGAGCTCGAGCCTATCTCACTCGTAACTTGCACTGTTACTGTTCCTCTCTGTCCCCCTTTGATGGTTTCTCACCTTTGCCTTAATCCATTCTCGCTACTATTATACAAGAAGACTATCATCTATATCTAATGTTCTCATTTCATCTCCAACCATTCAGTTCTTATAATCAACCTTTTTTGTTTGCTTTTAAAATGAACCCCTAGAGGGGCACCTGGGTGGTGGCTGAGTCGGTTAAGTGCCCAACTCTTGATGTCAGCTCAGGTCATGATCTCATGGCTTGTGAGTTCGAACCCTGAGTCAGGCTCAGGAGCCTGCTTGGGATTCTCTCTCTCTCCCTCTCTCTCTGCCCCTCCCCAGGTCACATTCTCTCTCTCTTTCTCTCTCTCTCTCTCCCCTCTCTCCCTCTCTCAAAATAAAGTTTAAAGTAATAAAATAAACCCCAAAGGTAACCAACACGTTCCCAAATGCCAAAGCTAAAGGCATCGCCTGTACTCATTCTTAATTCTCTTGTACCTCTCTAATGACATTTGATACAAGTGACCAAAACCTTTCTGTCTATAGATCCCAGCGTCTATAAACTCTGGGATCACTCATTCTCTTCTTTACTAACTTTCCCTTTGTCTTCTTGCCATGCACAAGAACAATCCTAGACCTTGTCTCACTGCTTTCTGTATTATTTGTCTTGGTAATCTCAACTAATTCCTGGTGATTTCCAATCTATGCAGATGAAACTCCATGTCCTATCTCCAAATTCCAAATACCCTCTTTGACCTATACTTCTAAAAAATATTTTTAATATCTTAATTTGGATGTCTAGCTACACATTAAAATCATCATCTTTCCCTAGATCAATCTTTTCTGACTTCCTTTCTGTTAATGGCACCACCATTTTCCTAATGATTCGGGCCAGAAGCCTGGAAGCCTTTTGTAACACTTTCTTCCCATTTACCCCCTACATTCAGTCATCTGGATGTCAAATGTTTTGTACCTTGTAAATCTTATGTTATTTAAGCCTTAAATTCCCACTGTCACCTCTTTAATGCAAGTCCCCTTTTTTTATATACAATTACTTCTTAACTCTGCTCTCTGCCAAGTTTCTCTCCACTCCAGTTTATCCTTCATTCTGCCTGCAAGTTAATTTTCCATAGAGTTCTAATATCACTTATTTGTTCAAAATCTTGCAAGCGTCCCAATGAATTGGCTGCTAACTCCTCAAACTGACAGAAAATCTTGTACAATGTATCTCCATAACAACTTTTTAATTTTCTTTCTCATTATACTTTTATGAATACAGGCTTTACATGTGCACATGCATATACATATATATAAACTATACCATTAATCATTCTCTAGCTATAGTTCATATTTTCCCATCTTTATATGCTTCCTTATGCCTTCAGTTTTACATGGCATCGCCTCTAATCTCCAACTACCACCTCTGCTAAAGTAATATCCATCCTTTACTTTAAAATTTTTTTTTAATTTTTTAAAAAGAAATTTTTTTTTAACGTTTATTTATTTTTGAGACAGAGAGAGACAGAGCATGAACGGGGGAGGGTCAGAGAGAGGGAGACACAGAATCTGAAACAGGCTCCAGGCTCTGAGCCGTCAGCCCAGAGCCCGACGCGGGGCTCGAACTCACGGACCGCGAGATCGTGACCTGGCTGAAGTCAGACGCTTAACCGACTGCGCCACCCAGGCGCCCCAGGCACCCCCTTTTAAATTTTTTTAATGTTTATTTGTTTTTGAGAGAGAGACAGAATGTGAGTGGGGGAGGGGCAAAGAGAGAAAGAGAGACAGAGACACAGAATCCGAAGCAGGCTCCAGGCTCTGAGCTGTCAGCACAGAGCCAGACGCAGGGCTCGATTCCATGAACCATGATATCGTGACCTGAGCCAAAGTCAGATGCTTAACCGAGTGAGCCACCCAGGTGCTCCTAAAGTAAAATCCATCCTTATACGAACATGAAATCTTTCCTAATTTTTTCCTTACTCCCATAAACTGGATGAGTATAACAGAATTTCCCTTTCTCTCTGCCCTTTTAGTCCCCATAGCACTTTGAATACCCCTTTGCTATAGAATCATGTAAATGCTTATATACATACTTAAAATAACTTCTCTCGGTATCTTTGTGCCTCAAATACAAACTGTGTCAGTTTGTTGAAGTGAATCTCAAATGTCACACAAATACATTCAATGTTTTCTTCATTCTAGTTGTCACAAATGAAAAGTAATGACACATTTCTATTCTTACTCTCTTTCAAATGTAAGTGCTTCGGTGGGTGATGTTCAGTAATACTACATGATTATAGACCTTTCATAGAGCCATTTACTCTTCAGATTTTCATATATGGCTCATAATATAAGTATTCCTTTACTTAATATTTTACCCACAGTTTGCTTTTTTCCATGTTGCATTTTTGTTTCATCATATAATATTCATAATTAAATTATTAACAGGTTAAGATTTTATATGGCTTTTCATTTCTACTATTCCATAATGCATCCATTCTTACTATATTAGTAAGATTGTAAATTTTCATTTTATATTTTTGGAAAAAGTATAATGGGTGTACACCCATTTTTAATTTATTCAAATAGCCAGCTGTTTATATGTAAAACCATAAGCTCTATTACCAAAATTACTCTTGATAAGGTACTCATGTAGTAATAATGAAAATAAAAGTAAGGGGCACCTGGGTGGCTTAAGTCGGTTAAGCGGCTGACTTCGTCTCAGGCCATGATCTCACAGTTTGTGAGTTCGAGCCCCGAGTCAGGCTCTGCAGTGGTGATTCTCTCTTTCTCCCTCTGCCCTCCCCAAAATAAATAAATAAACTTTAAAAAAGGAAAATAAAAGTAAGCTACTTATACTAGTACTCAAAATAATATCACAATAATAATCCATCATTCAAAAAAATAATTTATCATTTGAAATAAGTCAAAACGTGAGCCCAGATTACCTGCTATCGTGTTGAGAAACATCAAGTATTCAAAATTTGAAATCTCTCTATGTTGCCATCGCTGGGTCATATTAGAAGCTTTAAAAAGCTGACGTGGACTAGCTAATGAAATACGCCTGCAAAAAACAGAATTTGGTGTAGAACTGATTTAAGCTTAATTACATCACAAAATAATATCTGTGCTTATTCTATACATTTGATATACAAAATGATATCTGTATACTGTGAAAAGTTCTATTCATGTTATACTAATGAATAGAAGAAATATTTCAATGCACGTTTAATGGTTACATGATTTGGAATGGCCACAGGTCCATGATACATGTTGTATGCATTAAAGTAAGCCATTATTTTTTAAATATAATTTATTGTCAAATCGGTTTCCATACAACACCCAGTACTCATCCCAACAAAGTAAGCCATTATTAATATCTAGGTTCCATAAGTGTTGATCAATAATAGTATGATTAATAACTTACTGATTTACTGATATAAAAGAAGTTATAGTAATTGAGAAATGTATCTAAAATTGTATGCACATCTTTATTAATAGTTTTCTTAAAGATAATACATTTGTACATTTTAAATTTAATATTATTCTTATATACTCTTTATGACAGGGGAAAGAAGGATTCTAAACTCTTTAGGTATCTATTCATGGGGTGGGATAAAGATAAGAGAAACTATAATTTTTTTTTTTGTACAGCTTAGTAATAGAAGACCAAGTTTTCTGTTTTCTGAATGCAATGTAAGTAACAAAAGATGCAACTAATACTAAGTAACAGTGGAAAACAGGTGGCAGGATTAATTATTACATTTAGAGTCTAGAACCAAGGACAAGGTAACAATATTTTTTTCAGTGTTATTTTCAAAGGTATAATTTACATACCATAACCTTTATCCATGTAAGTATACTATTCAATGATTTATTAGTAAACTTCTAGAGTTGTGAGATTATCACCACAATGTACTTCAGAACATTTCACCACCACAAAAACTTGCCTTGTGCCTATTTAGTTAATCCCTGTTCCTATCCTTAGCTCTATGCAACTATCAATATGCTTTCTGTCTCTATAAACTTGCCTTTTCTGGACATTTCAGATAAATGGAATCCTACATCATGAAGTCTGCATCAGGCTTCTTCACTAACCATGTTTTTGAGATTTATCAATGTGGCAGCATGTGATTAGTAATTCATTTCTTTTGATTGCTGAATAGTATTCTAGCCTATGAGTATGGAATATACCACATTTTAAAAATCCATTCACCAGCTGATGGATATTTAAATTTTTTCCAGTTTTAGATTCTTATTATTATTCTACTTCGTATTACTATGAATATTCACAAATATGTCTTTATATGAACATATGTTTTCATTTTGGGAGGAGGGGGGGTTGTAGAATCCCAAGGGTGTAAATGCTGAGTTGTAAGTTGGGTTTAGGTTAACTTCTTAAGAATTTGCCAAATAAATAAATAAATAAATAAATAAATAAATAAATAAATTTAAAGAAATTTGCCAAATTGTTTTCCATTTCAACAAGCAACATATGGAGTTCCAATTTTCCACATCTCTGCCAATACTTGCTATTGTATATATTTTTTACTATAACCATTCCAGTGAGTGTAAAATGGTATCTTATTATAGTTTTAATGTACATTGTTGAGCAACTTATCATGGCTTATTAGCCATTTGTGTACCTTCATTGGTGAAATGACTATTTAAATCTTTTCTTCCTGTATTCGTTAAGGTTACTTATTGAGTTGTGAGAGTTCTGTATACATTCTGAATATACAAGATCTTTATAAGACACATTATGTACAAATATTTTCTCAGTCTACAGCTTCTCTTTTCATATACTTAGTGGTATCCTTTAAAGCACAACAGTTTTAAATTTTTATTAAATCCAATTTCTCGATTTTATCTTTTATGGATTATGCTTTTGGTGTCAAATCTGATAACTCTTGGCCTACTCCAGGGTCATGAAGCTTTTCTCCTATATCATAAATTCTTTGGTACTAAAAAAAATTAGTTTTAGCTCTTAAATATAGTTCTATGACATACTTTGAGCTATTTTTTTTTTTTTTTATAAATGCTGTGGTGGTAAGTGTTGAAGTTCATTTTCTTGCATGTAACTATCCATTGTCTCAGCACTATTTAAAGATTATCCTTCCCTCACTGAATTGTATTAGCACCTTTGTTGAAAAATAACTGATCATAAATGCAGGGTTTATTTCTGTAGTCTCAATTTTATTTCATTGATTTATATGCCTATCTTTTTATAAACACCAGACCATATTGATCATTGTGGCTTTATAGTTAGTTTTTGTTTTGAAATCAGGTAGTGGGAGTCATCTAACTTTGTTCTTCTGTTTCAATATTTTGGTAATTCTAATCCACTGCATTTCAGCTTCTCGATATCTCCAAATAAGTATGCTAGATTTTGATAGGGATTGCACTGGATTTATAGATCTGAGAAAACTGACATCTTAATCATGCTGAATATCTTCTGATCCATAAATATGGAATGCCTCCGTTTATTTGATATGCCTTTAATTTCTATCAGCCATATTTTATAGTTTTAATTGTACAAATCTTACACTTCTTTTGTCATCTAGGAATAAAGACATTTTTCCCCGTTCCAATCTGGATGCCTTTAATTGCTCCCTCCTTCTCTGCATTTCTTGCTGTACAGGCTGAAATCTCCAATATAATATTGATAGAAATGGTGAAAATGAGAGACATTCTAGCCTTCCTGATCTTAGGGGAAAGCATTCAGTCTTTCAACATTAAGTGTTTCCCAAATACTATACTTTTCTCTTGAGCTCTAACTTCCCATTCAATATTTCAGTAGGGACATCTCTCAGGAGTTTCAATTTCAATAGATCTAAAACTAAACTTCTCATAATCTGTCCACCCACCTCCTCTCCACAACCCCAACCCGATCCTTAGGGAGATATATATATACAACTATTTCTTCTCCACTGTTCCCAATATCAATAAGTGCCACTCAGCAGATTAAACTGAAACTTGGCAAAACATGCTGGACACCCCCTCTCTTACCCTCATTACCTAACTAATCTCTAAGTCATACAAACTGTATGTCCTCAAAATTTCTAAACAAGAATGTCTCTCTTCAACTGCACTATCAGCACCAAATATCACCTGGATTTCCACAATAAATTCCTGTCCCTGAACTGACCCTCTCTTCTCAAGATCACTAAATTCCAATGATATCTGCCTTCCAACACTCCTTGAAACATTCTTTTGTTTGCATATTTGTTTTTTAAGGAACTTCACCTTATTACAGGGCCTTTGCATATGCTATTCCCTCTTTCAAAGGTAAGCTGATTCTGTTCTTTCAAATCAAAACTTAAAAGTCACACAGGAAGATATTTCTGACTACCTAATCCAAACCATCCCATCTCTATTCCACTAATCATTATTACAACACCCTAATTATATCCCTCCTGTCACTTACACAATTATTTATTTTGTTTGCATATTTGTTAAAACATGCATGGGTAAGATGGTGTCTATTTTGCACACTGCTAGATGACAGGCACACTCTAAGTTTTTAAGATCTATTTAAATTGTTAATTTAATCAATTAACCTACTCCTAGCTTCCATTAACTGTGGGAAATCATTAAGATTTCCCAAGTATGATAACACATATTAGTTGATGAATAAAGCTACTTAGATAAAGAAATTTACTATGCCATTCTAAGGTTGTAAGGTTCATCCTGAACCTGAAATTCCTCACTAAATTATAAAACTATCTAATCAAAATCTTCACTGGCATTAAAAAGCAACTATTGCTTATAATCTAGAAAGGCCAATTTTGGTGCCCTCTTTGCGTAAGAGTTATACCCTGTGGTAGTTTTAAATATGTCCATAAATTCTTTGATACCTTCCTTCCACTTGAAGAAGTGGAGCTTTCCCCTTCTCTGGAGCCTGGGCTGTATTTAATGACTCATTTATGATAAACACAATGTAGCAGAATTAATATCCTACTCTACCTATCAAGGGTAGGTCACAAAAAGACATTGGGGCTTCTGACTCATTCTCTTTTGGATCACTTACTCTGGGAAAGTCAGCACCCATGTCATGCAAACATTCAAGCAGCCTATGAAAAGCAGACTTGATAAGACAGTTTTATTTCTTCTTTTCCAATCAAGATGATCAGTAGTTTCCTTTTCTGGTAACGCTTTCATGTGGGTTTGGAATTCATGTAACCCTGGCCTCATAGAATACCTTTAAAATGTTATCCTTCTTTTCTATTTTCTGTAATAGTTTGTTTAGAAATGATATTTTTTCATCAAATGTTTTATAGAATTTGTCAACAAAACCATTTGAGCTAGGAATATTCTCTAGCTCAGAACCTTTAACTATAAATTCACTTTCCTCTGTAGAGGTATTAACGTTACCTACTTCTTAAGGAATCTGTCCATTTCATCTAACTTGTCTAAGTAGCACAGGTTTGTTCATAATATGTCAGTATTTTCCTTTTAATATCTATAGGATCTGTTTTGATATCCCCTCTTCCATTCTTGATGTTGGCACTTTGTGTCTTCTTCTTCTTCATAAGTCATAAAACATATATATATATATATATATATATATATATATATATATATATATACACACACACACTACATTTATTAATCCTTTCAGAGAAACAACTTTTCATTGTATTGATTTTTCTTCACTGTTTCTGTTCATATTTGATGAATGTTCTGCTTTTATGTTTATGTTTTGTTTCAACCTACTTTGGTTTACATTTGATCCTCTTTTTCTAGTTTTTTCAGACAGAGGTTCAGCTGACTCAAAGCATTAATAATCATCATTACTGTGAAACATACAACAGAAGGTTATGCATTTAAAAACAAGTAAGAAAAAATATTAACACAGATTACTTTCCAAAATTTTCTCATAAAACAGTACCTGGTTTGAGGCAACCCAAAACTGGTTCCAATACCAACACGAGGAAGATAGTTAACTACTTTCTTTACTGTTGCCGGGTCTGGGAAATTGAACATTACAGCAACTATGAAAAGTAATTTTTAAAAATTAGAACACGATACAGCTTCCTTTTTGGAAAACTAACTTCTTGGTCTAATAAATATTTACTCTTAGTTAAGGTATACAATTCTTGCCATATTACTTTTATTATAGTGCATATCAAATTTTAGCATTAATTTTCCAGAGGTGATAGTCATTTTACTTACAAACTCCTGAACCATAAACAGTTTTCTCCAAATGCTGTCAGAAGTTCTAAAAATTGTTGTTGCACTAATGTGAAATGAAGCTGAGATTATCTAACTACAACTTTGAATTTACAAAATTGAATTTTAACAAGTTAAATATATGTATCTTTGAGTTTCTATAAATATTTAAGGTTTTAAGTTTTATAGTTAACAATCTAACACCAAGATTACAGATATAGGTGCTAAACTGTCACTTTTATTTATTTCCAACAATTAACAGTTTAAAAATTATTCTCTTTACAATGTTTATGTTTTTAATTTATATTTTCACATAAAATAGAATGACCTAAAGGAAAAACTTCTCTATAGATAATAGTCAAATTTAAATGTCTTCTAATCATTTCTATTTCAATAATTACACATTTTGAGAATATCAAGAAACATATAAATATACATAAAAATATTCAGTATATAAATGTTAATTATAGTCATCTATAAATTTCCATCCTTAAGAAATATGAAAATAAGAAAGTCAAAATCAGGAGAGAAAAGTTCGAAGATATCAAATTGGATAGTCTTAAAATTTTAACTACATTAATTGCAATATCATGACCATATATAAGCTTGAAATAAGTACTCATCTAGAAAACGATCCTTATTCTCTACCTAGCTTAAAAAAATTCACTCCAAAAAAAAATTTGTCAATTTGGTATAGCTTTGAATACTGACATTACCAAGAAGTTTCAGGTAAAGAAAATACATGGTCATTCACTAAGTATCTAAAACATATTTGGAACTGACATATACATATCCAACATATCTTTTTAATATGCCATCCTTACATACCCATTATTACACTGAATATAGGGAAAACAACAACAACAAAACTAACATTAAGTTATGGCAGATAACCCAAGGCCATGGGGGAAAGGCAAAAGAAAAACACACATACAATAGCAAGGATGCATAAGAAATTTTAAAGGAGAAAAATGAATGAGGATGAGCAAGTAATAAATATTGTAATACTGAAACAAAATCTCTTTGGGACAGCAAGAATGTAGGCTGAACTAAAGCATGAAACATTCACTTGGTTATTTGCCTGAAAAAATAATGTTCACATTAGGAAGAAGAGGTATGTATAGAAGAGGAGACCAAATAGGAAAGGGAAAAACATCTTTACCTAAAGAAATTTGTATTCTAAAGACACATGATTCCATACAGGGAAAATAATGTGTGCATGGAATATACATTATTATGTGTAGACTTTTTTAAACGACAACTTGTAGATTATAGAAAGAGAAAATAAAACTTTAATCTACTTATGTATAAGGAGTAAGCACAGGAAGTCACTAGGCTTTATATTATTTTCCCTTGTATGCCTCCACTCATACCCAACAATGCTTTTACTTCAAGTTCACCTTGTCTCTCCTTCTTGTCTTAATGAATTTTACCAAGTTCCATTTTAAACCCACAAATTGAATTTTAGTTCTTTCAAGAATGATGTAATACAAAGCAACCAGGACACTTGAGGACCATTTTCTGATGGTCCCTTTATAAATGGCAATAGATTAGACAAAAGATTGAATAAATATATGAATCATTTGATTACCCTCTCCCCTTTCTAAATGCATCTACCTTCCAGGAGGAGTTTAAGCATCAGAGCAATATTGAGAATACCAAAACTCTTCAAATGATTAAATGGTTAGTTATTCACCATATTTAGAAAATTTTGCACTAATCTATGATATGGCCAAAAAACTAAAATTACTACAAATAATTCTATGAATGATCAAGGGGGAAAAACCCATGAAGATGCATGTGATTCAAAAAACGAGGTCAGTATGACAGAGATTAGACTACAAATCACTACCTAACTGGGAACTATATGGTATGTTCAAAAATGAAATCTGAAAGAGGTGGAGGTTAGCTTTATAACAATTTACTTCTGAAACATATTACCTCTGTTTGCCATAAAGATCTCCAGGGCTGTATTTTGCAAAAGATAACGACGCGAAAAGATTGATCGTATCTCTGTGAACAGCCATTTTCCATGCAACCCTTCTGTATATGCCAGGATCTAGTGAGAAAAAAAATATGCCCAAGTAAGTAACAGCAGTTGAATTTTTTTCTTGTTGTTTTTTCTCTTGAATAAAATAGAAAAGACCCTATTAAGAAAAATAATTTCTAAATACTGAAAAAACAGATACTGAAACAATCTGGAGGGAAACTAAGAAAACATCTTGCAATGTATGGAAAGGAAGCTTAATGAAAAAGTAGAGGAAAATTATAAAACATTTACTTACAAATATATTTTGAGCTTTTAAAAGCAGTGATGTAATCCTATTTATTGTTTTTTAGGAAATACACATTGCATTATTTAGTGATTGAGTTTTGAATCATTTTATGGAAAGTAAAGTTTTAGATAAAACCTTAAAAAGAAGGAAGACCTCAAAAGAATACCTTATATGTTTACAGACCACATATACAATTCAGTTTCATATAATAATGATTTTAGAGTAACCAGAAATATTTTTTATGTATATGAGGGTTTTTCTTTTAGGTAGAGTTGAAACACAATGTTGCACTGGTTTCAGGTGTACGACGTAGTGATTTAACAAGTTTATACATTATGCTATATGTTTACCACAAGGGTAGCTACCGACTACCCCGTTATATTGCTATTACAGTATCATTGACTATATTCCTTATGCTGTGCCTGTTACTGCAAGCCTGTATCTCCCTATCCCCTTTACCAATTTTGCCCAACACCCCACCACCCTCGACCTCTGGTAACCATCAGTTTGTTCTCTGTGTTTATAGGTCTGATTATGCCTTTTATTTATTAATTTGTTTTCTGTTTTCTTTTTTTTTTTTAGATTCTACTGCAGAAGTACCTTTAACATACTTTAAAATATATATCTACAGTAAATCCTAAGAGTTCTTATTTCAAGGAGAAATTTTCCCTCCTTTTTGTTCTATTTTCTAAAAATTTATCTATATGAGGGGAGCCTGGCTGGCTCCATCAGTTGGGCGTTTGATTCTTGATTTCAGCTTAGGTCATGATCTTCTGGTTCATGTGATTGAGCCCCATGTCGGGCTCTATGCTGAGCGTGGAGCGTGCTTGAGATTCTCTTTCTCCCTCTCTCTCTTTGCCCCTCCCCCACTCTCTCGCTTAAAATAAACAAATAAACGTTTTAAAAATGTGTAAAAAATTTTTTTAAATTGTATCTATATGAGAAGATGCATGAACATATTGTGGCAATCACTTCACAATATATATAAACCAAACCATCATGCTGTATGCCTTAAGCTTATACAGTGATGTATGTCAATTATTTTCCCATACAATGAAAAAATATATATATATTTCATTTCATAGCTTTAAAAAAATCACACTTTTAAGGTCACTATTAAAGGCAACAGTCACTCATTCACAAAGCACAAAGACTGACTGTATAAGAGGTTAAGTATCATTTTGTCAGCTAGGCTAAACACAAACCTGCAAATGAACTCAACATAATCTCTCTATGGAGTAGGTGGTTGTCAGAGTAACTTGTTACAATTCTTGTCATCCCATGTGACAGACGCAATAGCTTAGAATGCTTTGCCAACTCAGAGTAATCCTGTCTTTAGTCCTAAGCCACTTTGTTGCTTTGTTATTCAAGTTTTTTCTTTTAAAAAGTTCATTTCAAAAGCTTAATTATGAAGGTGTTAAAGGAAAACCAGATGTGGAATTTCTCCACACCAGTACTTCACCTAATATTAATTTAATAAAGAAAATGAGACATATTTACTATCAAAATGTGATGAAAATCCATGAAAGCAAAGTAAACAATTAAGCTATATCTTTCAAAAGTAACCACCACTAAACAATACAAATAGAATGACATGTGATTATGATACTGCTTTGGAGGGACAAAGACAGGATAAACAAGGAAAGGAAAAATAATTAATAATAAGAATTTATCCTATGGAAACTTTCTTTTCTATTTTCATTTCCATTTTCTAGATCTTAACTGCAAACAGATCTATATTCCTCAATGAAAAATGCAATAATGGGCAAAAAGCATGTACTTTGATTTTTCTAAAAATTATATTTCTGGCACCAAAGGATTTAAAAATGAAAGAACAATTCCAAGTCTCAATGTTTTTTGAAAAACAAAACAAAAATTCTAAGAACCAAACAACAAATCAAACTTTCTTTCAGTTTTAAAATTGGTGATATGGAAATCTACTTTCACATAGCCAATACCTGTGTAAGTAAGAGCAAAAGAAGTAAACAGGAAAAGAGAGGACAAAGCTGTAGGTATTACTCTCAAGATTTTCTGAAAGCAGAGGTTGCATGTACCTCTTTCCCTCACCATAACCAGCAGGTTTAAACCTCCAGAGTCTATAGTGTTCTCCTACTTGGTTTCTCTTCTGATCTTACTTCTAGAGTCTACTATGACCAGAGGAGCCAAAGAAAAAATATTTTTTAAAAAAGTTTAAAATACAAATTAGATCACATGCATTTAATAACCATCCAGTGGCTTTGCACTACATGTATAATAAACATGGAAGCTCTTTATAATTGTTTATAAAGTCTTACATCTGGGACTTACTGATGAGCCCAATTCATTCTTCTTTGAGGCCTTTTATTTATTGTCTCCTCTGATGTGAATGTTCTTCTCTCAAATCTTCACATGACTGGCTTATTCTTACATTAGATTCTTGCTTCAATGTTACCTCCTTAGAGAAGCCACTGGATCTAAACCTCACTGCCTCCATAACCACCTCTTGCCCCCCCAAACTCACCATATTGCCTTCACAACATTCATCATTACATGCAACTATAGTATCTGCTTGCTTCTCTATTGCCTCTATTTAGCACTGGAATCTAAGTTCTACTAGAACAAAGACTTAAGTATAGTCTATTTCCATTTTCTAGAACAATGTCTGACACAAAGTAGATGTTTCTGAATGATCACATGAGTCAATCAATGGCAACCTAACCTCCATATATGGCCCAAATACACTTCATTTTAATATTATAACAAAATTTCAAGTAATTTAAAATGCCTTAAAAATGGAGATTTACATTATTATTTAGATTCGTTTCTCGGGAAAAACTGGGGCATCTGTCAAACCTAGGTCTATCTGTCACATGGTAACAAATGATACACACTCACCATTTTGGCACAGTCTCCACTCATTCACTCATTTACTATTATCTGTCTAGTTTCCATTGGCATTTGAATTTGCCATCTTGGACCTATCAAATAGTAGACAATTCAATATATGTTCTTTAACACTTTATACCCCAATCTATCCAATATTACTAAGGAAAATGAGAGTCAGAAAAATTATATAGTTAATACAAAGTCCCTCAAAGCTAGTGGCAGAGTCTGGCCTACTCCCAGATTCTCTAATCCAAAAGTACAGAGCTTACATATATATACTACATTGTCACATTTCTAAAAAGGGGCTTAAAATTTTGTTAAACTAGAACTCAATCCATCAGAATTTTAATGAACTACATTTGTCTTCCTGTACTTGGGTTATAGGTGAAAAAGGAAAGAAAACAAATAACAAGGGCTCTTCTAAGGTCTATGATATGCTATGAAAAGAACACATTGATATGAAAATTCTACCTTTTATATCTCTAAAGCTATATAAGAAGACCTGCTGCTCATAATGGTGACGTCAGTCATTGTAAGATCATGGTCATGCAACTAAACATTATATTCTAGGATACTTCAATCATTAACAGAAATAAATATACTAAAATACTATTATAAGATTGTAATGTACTGAAAATTTGTCAATTAATAAAAAATTCAATTTATATCCCATTCCTTTAAGCAATATAGTCATTTAATAATCTACTTGAAGTGGTATGCTTCTTTAAAATGCTTTACGACCAAATCAAACAAATTCACAACTGCAGAAAATGACATAAGCCCCATGTACCCAATACTCAAATCCTAACTTTATGCCACATTACTGCATGTATTTAAAAATTAAGGGCCGCTGGGTAACTCAGTCAGTTAGGCATCTGACTTTGGCTCAGGTCATGATCTCGTGGCCCACGAGTTCGAGCCCTTGTCGGGCTCTGTGCTGATAGCTCAGAGCCTGCAGCCTGCTTCAGATTCTGTCTCCCTCTCTCTCTGCCCCTCCCCCACTCGCACTCTGTCTCTGTCTCCCTCTCTCTCAAAAATAAACATTAAAAAAAATTTTTTAATTAATAAAGCTTTTTAGATAGTACTGAAATTCCCATAAATAACCTTCCTGATACCATTTTCCTCCTTTGTAAGAGTCAATCACTGCCCTTGTTTTAAGGTTTATCATTCCTATGTCAGTTTTTATACTGTTAGCACATATATATCCATACATAATATCCAGCATTGTTTTCTATGTTTTCAAACCCATATTGAATGAAAGCCAGTAATGTGCTTTCAAAATTAAATATAAGCAGGTCTATTGTGTTAAAACTCAGAGAAAGAGAAACAGGAAGAGACACAGACAAAATTATTTAAAATTGCCAAAAATATCAAACATTGAAATCACACATGAAAACTAGCCTGACTCCAAGAGAGTTAACAAATGAAATTCTATACTTACGATCAAGATGGCGGGTTTAAAATAGAAACAAAAAATCTTTTAACTAACAGAATTAGTAGCTGAAATTGATACAATAACATTTCTTTAAAGTATTCATTAGGAAAAGGTGTCAGTACTGAAATGCAGCTGAGGCCTAGCTAAGCAAGAGGTTTATTTCTTATTGGAATAGTATATTCCTGGTCCGCGGCTTCACTTCAAAGTCTCTAGAGTTCAATTAAAACTGGATTAGGTAGAAGCAGACCCTTCTTTGGGACTTTCTGTTCACTGAAACTCTACATACACTGACAGCACCCTAGACAGAGGTCTAGCCCTCCAATGAATCAGTTGCTATGGAAACCGTATCATTACCATTGCGCTGCAGTTATGACCCCCAATCTAAAATAGCTTGAAAGCTTAAGCCCACAGCACTCTTTGAATGTTTACCACCTTGTTTTAATATGGTTAGTATTAATAGTAGAAGTAAATTCACATTTCTTT